CGAATATTTTCCGTTTCTGGGATTTTTTCAAACGGAAGAGAAACTTTTCTGTGCTCAGCTTTGCATAAATTACAAATTTCACATTTATTAATAATGTTTTGAATAAGTTTTTGTGCGTCTGGGAAGTAGTATTTCATTTTAAAAGTGTCATAAGTCTTTTTAATTCCTTGGTGTATTGTTTTCTCATGTATTTCTAATATTTTTTCATGAAAGTCTGCATATGTGTGCAAGTTGGGAAGTACTACTGAAGTTTTCATTAATTTCGTACCAGTATTTGGTTTAATTAATTTCATATAGGCTCGTTGAAAAATTGCAAAATCTTCGTCATTATTAATGTACATAACAAAATTGTGTCCACATATAAATTTTATAATTATGTCTTTCGCCAAAGTCTCAGTCATGTCACTGTAAATAATTTTATTAATAGTTTTGTTAAAGTAGTGAGTAAGTTCGTTAGTGTCTTGATTTCCCTTTTCAAATATAAGTTGGTGATTAAAAACGTTAACTGGTCGTTCGGTAATTTGTATGCAATCGCCATTATCTTCTTGTGCACTATGCACTGTTGCTGCAGTAGTATCTACATCGTCTTCATTTTGAAATACTTCTTCAATTTTGTTATCTTTTGATTCCTTTTTTGTAATCCTGGATAGAGCATCTGCTACATGATTCTCTTTTCCTTTAATGTACTTTATTTCATAATCAAACTCTCTAAGCTTTATTTTCCAACGTTGTAATTTCATATTAGGTTCCTTTATATTGTGTAACCAAACAAGTGGTTTATGGTCAGAACATATTTTAAAACTTAGTCGCCCATACGATAGCTAATAATTCTTTTTCAATAGCTGCATAATTTAACTCATGTTCATTTAAAGTTCTACTGGCAAAACAAGTGGGTTTCCCTTCTTGGGATAGTACAGCACCTAATGCATAATTGCTTGCATCTGTAGTTAGATCAAACTTCTTTTCAAAATCTGGATATATGAGAATTGGATCGTTACTTATTAAAGATTTTAATTTTTCAAACGCTTCATTGTAACTAGGATCGTTTATATTTATTTTTGCTCCTTTCTTTAAGCAGAGAGTCATTGGTTTGGCAATTTTTGCGAAATCTTTTATAAACTTACGATAAAAACCACAAAGGCCTAAAAATGATTTTATTTGTTTTGGAGAGTTTGGAATTTTAAAATCTTGAATAGCTTGAATTTTATTTGGATTTGCTCTGATTCCTTCAGTTGAAATTATGTGACCTAAAAATTCAGTTTCTCGTTTCATAAACTCACATTTATCTAACTGTAGTTTGAGATTCGATCTGCGAAGACGTTCGAATACTTTTTTTAAAGATTGAATATGCTCTTGTAAAGAGGTTGAAAATATAACAATGTCGTCTAAATATACTAGACAATGGGTACCTATTATGTCGTGTAATATATTATTCATACAACGCTGAAATGTGGCGGGTGCATTTTTAAGGCCGAAGGGCATTCTAGTATATTCATAGTGACCCTTCTTAGTGGATAATGCAGTTTTTTGAATAGAGTCTGGGTCCATTTCAATTTGATGGAACCCTTTAGCAAGATCTAATGTTGTAAAGTATTGACATTTCCCTTGTCTAATATTTCGTCCATGTTCGGAATAGGGAATTTATCATTAATAGTTATTTCATTCAGTCCTCTGTAATCAATAGCCATACGAAATTTGGGTAAGCCCGATGCATCCCTTTTCTTGGGTACCATTACAATTTGACTGCAATAAGGAGATTTGGATTTTCTGATAATACCTTGTCTTATCATTTCTACAATTTGTTTTTCTACTTCTGTATCGTAAATGTAAGGATAACTATATGGTCTCCTATAAATCGGTTCTTCATGTTTTGTTTTTATAACGTGTTTGATTTCGTTCGTGAAAGTCAAATTTTCACCTTCATGATACTGAATATCAAAATATTTTGACATTTAATAATGAAGTTCAGTTTTTTCTTCATTATTTAAGTGATCGTCTCTAATATTATTGTCAGATAAGTCCGTTTGTAAGGCACAATTATATTCTTCATCATCTACTACATTTGAAGCAGTTTGATTACATTTTTCCGTTATATTTACCATAGGGAATTCATAATTATGTAATTCAATGGTGTTTTTCATAAAATCAATTTTTGCTGACGATTCTTTCAGAATTTGTCTTCCTATAAGAATGTCATAATGTTTTGAAAAGTTTTTTATAAAAAATGTTTGCTTAGATGAAAATAATTTTGGAATACTAAACTGAATATATTTATTCAAAGTTACAGATTCACCAATTGTTTCAATTTTAGTAGAATTATTTTTATACCCGTTACTCGTAGAGTAAAAGGGTATACTAGATTCGTCGGAAAGTATGTAACAGGCAGAAGGAAGCGTTTCCGACCCCATAAAGTATATATATTCTTGATCAGGATCACTAGCCGAGTCGATCTAGCCATGTCCGTCTGTCCGTCTGTCCATCTTTCTGTCCGGATGAACGTTGAGATCGCGGAAACTATGGGAGCTAGGCTATTGAGATTTGACATGCAGATTCCTGAGCTTCCTACGCATCGCAAGTTTGTTTCAGTAGACTGCCACGCCCACTCTAACGCCCACAAACCGCCCAAAACTGTGGCCCCTACAGTTTTCATGCTAGATAGAAAATTTTAACTGAAATGTAATGTTCTCAACAATACCTATCGATTGACCCAAAAAAAAGTTTGCCACGCCCACTTTAACGCCCACAAACCGCAAAACCCTGTGACGCCCACAATTTTCATGCTAGATAAAAAATTTTAACTGAAATGTATTGGTCTCGTCAATACCTATCGATTGATCCAAAAAAAATTTGCCACGCCCACTCTAACGCCCATAACGCTTAAATCTGTATACCGCCGGTAGGTGGCGCATTTTAATCTCGCTTTGCTGCTTGCATATCTCCATTTAGCTGAGTAACGGGTATCTGATAGTCGAGGTACTCGACTATAGCGTTCTCCCTTGTTTTAAATGGGTAGTTAAAGAAGTTTTCGTTAATTAAATTTATGCTTGATCCTGTATCGATAAGACAGAGGCATGGTTTATTATAAATTTTAATTTTTATGGCTGTGGTGTTTCGTCCGAGGCTGTTGTCTGAAAATTTTCAAATGTGTCCATTGGCTCAGACTTACGTTGTTGATCTGAATCTGAAACTCGGGGACGTTTTTGGGGAACATTGGTACTCTGAGTACTTTGGTTACCCTATCCTTGATTGTTTTGAAAAGTTTTAGGATAATAATTATTTCCTGAATTATTATTATTAGAATTATTGTTGTTACCCCAATTTCTATTAGAGTCGAATCTATTCTGTCTCTGCTGGTTGTTGTTATATTTGTTTTGATAATTGCTATTTTGGAATCTACCCCCTTGGTTATTATCTGAATGATAGTTGGGTTTTGTATTTGAGTATGATTTTGATGTTTTAAAATCCTGAAATTCATCATCTTCCTGAGAGTTTTTGAACATATAAGAACGATTGTTTATGGATTTATCTTCAAAGATTCCTACAGCTTGGGCAGCTTGTTTTAATTTAAGAGGAGACGAAATATCAAATTTACTTAATGTAATAAAAGTTTTGACTGGTAATTTTTCACGAATCACTTCAGCTAATGTATCACTCAATGTCCTCGAAACTAGAACTGTGTTTGATGGATTATTGTCTAAGCTCAATTTACAACAAATTCTACTAGTCTGTTCTTCAAATTCTTCAACAAATTTTCTTAAATTATTTTTATATTTAATCTCACGTAATTCTGCTATCATTCGATGTGGAGGTGTTGCGCTGTTGAACTCGCTGATAAGTAGGGTTCTCAATTCCTTCCAGTCCTGTGGTATGTTTCTCATGAAGAGTGATCTGGCTTGTCCAACTAGGAGGTTCCTGATGGCTGCTTGGATAATTTGATTTTGGCCTTCTGATGTTGTAGGGTAATGGTAGACTAATTCATCGACTTCTTTTATAAAGAGAGCCAAATAGAGTGGGTCTCCGTTGAATTTATTTATCTGTTTTAGTTGCAGAAGGAAATGATTCATGGATACATCTGAGAGGGCTTGTGATGCTTTTGCTGCTGCGGCCACGGCTGCTGCTGCTGATGTTGATGGCAATTCCATTTTTTAATGGTTTTTTTTAGGCGAAATTAATTAGATTTATTATCGCTGGGTTAGACACTAGAAATCCTCATTCGTGATTTAACTAATGTTGGTAAATACAAATAATGTTTTAATTTTCGCGAAGTGATTTTTTTAAGTCCTTTTTAGGTAGTCACTCGCGAGGATATTACTTGTATCCTACCGGCTGCGCCAATTATGTTTTTTGCTTCGGGATATATTAAAAAAAAAAGCGATTTTTATTTTAATATACAGCGGAGTTTTTATTGGTAAAGTTCTTTCAAGTTAGATCCTCAATCCTAAACTGATTTTACAAAATGCATTATTCTTATAACTATGGCTTTTAGCGGTGACAGCGACGCGAGCAGCGAAAGTGGACTTTGATTGAGAATTTTGATTGGTCAAATCTGTGGCCCGATGAAACGGTTTCTAGGCTGCATCTTTTGTTTAATTAATTTGGATTGGCCAAAGCTTTTATGCTGACAAATGGGTTCTCAGGCTGGACCCTTTGTTTAAATGTTTGAATATTGTTTATGTCTACCGTCGTCGATAAAGGCGTGAGAAGTGTTTATAATTCTGGTTCTGCCGATTGAAGGCGTGGGAAAGATTTGTGTCTGAGGGGTTAAATGTTTATGTCGGATTGATTTGAATAACTGCGATAGTAGGCTCTGGACTTATGTTATTAACAATTGGAATAATGGGTATCTCGGGATATACAAGTTGTATGTTGGGTTTGGTATCCAGGGTATTTGCGTATAGGTCACTTATATGTATAAATATAATTGTAAGGGTTTAGTATTTAATTTGAAAAAAAAAATATGTATTGTTTTTGGTATTTTAATTTGTTATGAGCTGGTCATACTGGCAATGTGAAGAAAATAGTTTGAAAAGTAGACGCTCTAAGAAAGCACAAAATTGAAACGCAGAATAAAGATTAAAACGAGAATTTTTGTGTATTTGACTGAACATCTTTCAATTTTGTCAACTTGAGAAGCGTTCTCAATTTTTCAGCGCGATCTGCAATCTATGTAAACTGCAAGAAGTTCGAAGTATAGCTGTCACAGACCAGACGCCGTTATTGTCTGTAGGCATACTTTGAACAAAGTTTAAAAGAGACACCGATCAACATATTTGTATGTGTTGGTAGAACAATTGCTGTCACAGACCCGACGCTCTTATTGTCTGTAGGCAATTTGTTCATTTTGAAATTCAAAAGAAATCTGCGAAAGTGTGCGCAAAAGAACGCCAAGTTTGTGATGTATTGTTTTAAGTGTTGTTGCACAAAATTTACTGTACTTAATAAAGACTCTGCAAGTCTGTTCGAAAATGGTCTCAGGAAGCGGAGAGCGTATTTATGGTGACCAAAGACGGTTATGAACAGGGGCTTAGCTAGGCTCAGGGATCCACCGCAATCTACCTATGTAAGTTTTCTGGAATTATTGAGGAATAACTTTTGATGACTCAACAACTTTATTTCAGTGCAATACAACTTGCAGAATCTGATGCGTTTACGAAAATGCTTAGTTGGGGAGGCCAAAGAAACAGTGGCATCCCTATTTATATATCCCGACAACGTACAAAGTGTCATGAAAGACTCAACTAACAAGAATTCGTGAATTCCCGTAGGTGCCATATAATAAGCCTGAACAGATTGTAACTTTCTCAACAGAAGTTCGTACAGTTGTTTATTTTTTATCAGCGTCCAACCACAACGAGCACTTACGTAACTATGGGCATAAAATGCAGGTTTGCAGAAGCAAGCGAATTTGCGTAATTCAATGTTGCCATATTTTACATTATGTTAGTCTGCACAATTCTACACACTCGGAACTTCCTCAACCCACGGATAAGAAGCCTTTACTCAATTGCTATCCAAACTCTGAAGACGCACTTACCTATTTATAATCATCCCAGTTAATTTGTATGGACCAAATGGAAAAATAGAAACGTTCGCCATGTTTGACGACGGAAGTGCAGTAACCTTGTTGGAGACAGTTATCGCAGATCAATTGAACTTAAAAGGTAAACAATTTCCATTAACTCTTCAGTGGTATAATAATAAAAAGAGTATTGAAATGTCTAAAAGGGTAACCCTTGAGCCGGAGTACACGCTGAAGTACATTACTGTAAGGAACCTAGATTTACCAGTACAGTCTTTTTTAAGGTATCAATATAAACACCAACCTACCAATCCTTGATTATACCCACTTCAAGCCAGTTTTGCTAATCGCACTCGATAACGCCCACTTAGGGTTGCCGCACCAATTAACACAAAGCTGGGATTGTTAGCTTATGCCCTAGGCCAGCAAATGTCAAAAGGACGCAATACAGAAACATTTCACGTAGATTTTTTGGAAACAAAGACCAAACGGCAGGATGGAGTTACCGAGTTCGTGAAATCTGAAAATTTTTGATTGAATAATCGGTCTCCATTAGAATCCGTTGATGATATGCTGTTGACCGAAAAAACAATTGGGAAAACATTTTGCAATAGGATTACCATGGAAGGAAAACGTAATTATGACTAACAGTTACAAGATGGCTGAAAAGAGGTTACTTTGAACCGAGAGCAAAATGAACGCTTCACAAAGCGCTACTTAAAGGACCTGACAACTTAAAGTCTTTGGTAGCCAGTTCAGAGAAAATAAAATCGGTGTAACTGCAGATATACGGAAAATGTTTTCCCAAATAAAGGTGCACGAAACAGATCAACACGCACAGCGCTTCTTATGGCGAAATGGAGACTCGGCTCAGCCAACTCGACATTATGCTATGACTTTGCTCACCATTTTGCGCCGATTATGTCAAGAATCGCAATTCTGAAGAGTACAGAGAGCAATTTCCAAGAGCAGCAGATGCTGTTATTGAACATCATTAAGTGGATGCTCTAGTCATAGGTTTTACTTCAGAGGAAGAAGGCATCGTAATCTGTAAACAAATTGTGGAGGCTCATGGTTATGGAGGTTTCGAACTACGTAATTTTTGCTCGAATTCCGATATTTTACAGAGCGTCAAGTCATCTACAGAACCAAATGAGCAGTGAAAAGGTCTTGGGCATTTATTGGAATACGCAGCAAGATGTCATTCAATTCGAAACTAAGTTTCATCGAATACCGAAAGGAGTATTAGATGGAGATCGAGTTCCAACTAAGAGAGAGCTACTAGGCATAGTGACGGCAATATTTGACCCATTTGGCTTGACTGCGGACTATCATATATCTGCAAAAATATGGTACAAATTGGAATGAGGCTATTCCGACAGTGTTAAATAAAAATTGGAACTACTGGCTATCAGAACTGTGTCATATACACCGAGAGTATACTCTCCCAACTTAAGTTGTTATGAAAAATTGGATATGCATATTTTTGTTGACGCAAGCCAGGCCGCCTTTGCAGCTATTGTCTATTTACGTGTTCTTAGTCCAACTAAAGTTGATGTTGCCTTTGTCGTGGGAAAAACGCGTTTAGCTCCGAAGATGCTCCTTTCAATTCCTAGATTGGAACAGCAAGCTGCCATTCTTGGGGTTCAATTAAATCACTTGATACAAGAACACCTTAAGCTACTTATAGCAGACATCTTGTTTTGAAGTGATTTCAAAACCGTACTGCAGTAAATTTTTTCGAGAGCAAGAAAGTTGAAACCATTTGTCGGCCACCATGTTGCTCAGATTTTATCAATGGAACTGGGTACCTGGCAGCGTCCGCGGTGTTCAAGGATCACCGCGGACGCTGCCACACGTTTGAGTAATTTACCAAAAATATGTAACGACAGTCCTTCGATACTCGCCACGGTCAGACTGGCCACAGATGATTGACATAGTTTCAACGGAACCAAGAGGAACTTTGCGAACGCAAAATGCTAAGGTGTCAGGTAGGAGTCTCAGTAATAGATTTTAATCGATTATCTTCTTACATTAATCTGAAGCGCGTTGGAGCCTGGGTAAACTGGCATCCAAGAGGGGTCTTTAACTGCCGACGAACTATCTTATGCAGAAATCGAGATATGTAGACTGGTCCAGCAAGAGGCATACGCAAATGAGATCACGTCATTGCTAAACAACAAAGTGCTGTTAAGGGATAGTGCAATTTATGGACTTTCGCCTTACATAGAGACAAATGGCCTTTTACACCTCGCGCGTCGAATCAATGAGACATCATTTCTACCGAGCTCGTGACGGCGACCTATTCTGCTTCCAACAGATCACAAAGTGTCCACCCTTAACATGAGATACTTTCATGTAAAATTTCATCATCAAAATCAGGCAGTTATAATCAACCAATGTCGATACAAGATTTTGTGGAATATTAAGTGACTTCTAGAAGATGAAAACGATCGTCCGCGATTTCGAATTCGGATCGCAGAAGTGTCTCCCGTCGGGAAGAAATGTGCCACTTCGGCGACACTTCTCGAAGTCACTTCTGCGTAACTTCTGGAACTGTCGCCAAAGTCACTCCTAGAGGCACTCAGAATGACTTTACATATGCTTGTAAAATATACCTAGAAGAGTCTTTACCAAATGGGAAATCTTGAATAAAAACATATTTTTTTACTTGTTTTGCAATATCTTGCACTAATTTTTTGTATAAAGGCTTTGTACGCTTGTATACACGGTCCCTGGCATCTAGGAAGTTTCGCTGCACAATGTTATTTAGGTCCAGCTCCGTCGACATAAGAAATTTACTAATAACCATTTCTAAAAGAAACAGAACAAAAATTGTTTTTTGTTTAGTCAAAGTAAAAATAAGCTAGAAGACATTACCTTTTAAAATTAAATATGTGGAGAATAGTTGGATGCTGGGTTTCTCCGCAGTTACACGCCAAGTAATGTCCACAACTAGCTTGTCCGTAAATAGCTTTAAATATTCGTACAGCTCACGATAAGCACGAATTGTTACACCCTTTGTTGAGAGGGACATTTAAATATGTTAAGGAATTTGAGATATTTAGAAAAACCAAAGCTATATTTTGTAAACGCACAAATTTGATACAAACCCGCACTGTCCACAGAAAAATCGGGAAACGAAATGGCGCTCGGACAGAAATATCGCCCTTTTGCTTGTAGGGACTAACCGTATCAGTTGGTAGCCGCCACGAAAAGCGCTGGCAGTTATCTTTACTTGGATGACATGCAGAGTAACTGATCTTGAACTATCTCGGACCTTTCGACAGATACATTTATAATCTGTCTACGAAATTTCGTCAACCGTAGGGGTACACCTGTTATTATTCGAAGCGATAACGCCACAAACTTCATCGGTGCTAATAAGGTGCCCAAGGATTGTGAGAGTTTGTTGGATTTCGATAGTATAGCGAAGGAAGCAGATCAAAATGGTATTAAGTGGATCATGAACTGCCCACTTCAACCTAACGCCGGTGGGTGTTGGGAAAGTTTAATTCGAATCATGAAGGGATTGTTAAAGAAAACTTTACGCGATTTTTACCCACGCGTTAAGACTCTTCAGTCTGTATTGATAGAAGCTAAAAACATTCTGAATGCGCGACCTTTAACTGAAATACCCTGACGCCACTGCACCGAGAAGAACTTGGAAAAAAGCAAGAGGCATAATGATGTTTGTCGGGAAGGTTCAAATAGTTCGTTCTGCCGACGTCAAAACTGAAGATAACGTGCTACGGCGGCCAAAATCCAAGTTAATTAAACTTCAGTTAAGTAATGAATCCTAGAACGATTCACGGGGAGGGAGGATGTAAGGATTTAGTATTTAATTTTAGAAAAACATGTTTTGTTTTTGGTATTTAAATTTGAATTAAAAAGGAAAGAAGTTTTATTTGTTAGGAGCTGGTCATATTGGCAATGTGAAGAAAATAGTTGTGATAAGTAGACGCGCTAAGAAAGCACAAAACTAAAATGCAGAATAAAGATTAAAAACTAGAAATTTTTTGAAAGAAATTAGTTTGAAATAGTAACTCGCAAATGAAGACGTCCATCATTCTGGTCGCTCTATCCGCTTTGGTCCTTCAAGGAGCTCTACAAGTCATCCCCAACAAGTGGTAAGAGACTAAGAGTTGTAATAAGGTAAAAAAGGTTTGGCCTTAAGGCCTTAGACATCAGTAATACAGTTGTCTTGAAAAATAGTGCGCTAAAAAACACGGAGTTCTATAACGACACAATCCGAGTTTACCGTCGAATCGAAATTTAGTTCATTTTGGCTCGGTTAAAATGACTACCGATAGCAGAAGCATATACAGCAGCAACAACGAGTACAACCACAACAACAACAGCATCGCCTAAAGCAGCGGCAGCAACGGCAGCGGCGACAGTACCAGCGATCCGAGGACAACAGATAAGACATATTAAAGATAAACCATTATATTTACATAATTATATTTAAAAAATGGTGTCCGAACAATATTTAAGACTGCTTAAAAGCCAGTCGGATATAAATACATGTATAGAAATACAGGACCCAAAACGCGAAACTCTAAGAATTAGGAAAAAATAAAATGCGTTTTCTCTGCCAAAATAACTCATATTTAAAGCCTAGTACTCAGATTGGCTAAGAGTTTCACTAGTCGAAAAATCTTATTCTTTGTAGTGTGGCCGAAGTTTTCAAAGTTCACCCGCAATGCATGTAGCATGGTCTTACTGTCAAACAGCTGGGTTGCCAAACGGAAATCAAATCAATTGGAAAAATTGAAATAGGAGGAGTCTGCTGGTGCACAAAGTCATTAAAATAAAAATATATTAAATGTTCAACGAACGTTTTTATTTATGTAAATTAGAAGTTTAAGGCTTTCTTCTCGTCCCACGAATGCTTCGCCATCTTTCCCGCTCCATCGCAGTACAGCTCCGAGTCCCAATAGGCATATTGGATTTTGAGGAAGTGGGAGAACGGAGTTGATCCGCTGATGCCGGAAGTCACCCAGCATCCTGGCAGTGGCTGGCTATGGCTTCTCAAACTGTTCCTTAGTGGGCGCCCTATTTTCCTCCACCGTATAGAAGCCAGAGGGTCCTCCAGCTCCCCTTAAGCTGCCAAGTAGCTGGTGGTGGTGGTGTCCGGAGTCGTAATGGAGAGGTCGTCGGAGATCGTATTACTGATGGTTCTGCGAAAAATATACTTCTTACTTTCTTTGCGAGGATGCGCCCGGCAGGATGTCCATGTAGAGATCGAAGTCCCCCTCGGCATGTTCCTTCCCACTGGGACTCTCTAGTGGATCTCCTCCAGCACTTCAACTGTTCTGCGAATTTGCCCCTTTTGTGGAATTGCTTCCTGTCCGTGAAATCCCACAATAAAGGGCATAGGCTTGGATTTGGCGTCCTATTTCATCTGCACTGACCTCCTGCATCCGATTTTGGGGTTTTCTTTCCATTTTTAATTTTTAGTTTACACATGGCGATGTGCGCGAAACTATAAATTGGCGACTGGCGTTGGTAGCTAGCCATTTGGCAGCCATTTTGACAGCGTTGCCGGAACACGCCGTAGGCGTTGGATACTGCTTGGAGCGGTTTTAAGAGATTACCCGGCGGAGTGGAAACGCACCCTAGCGACAGGATAGCATTTGTGGCGCAGACAGCGCAAAGTTTACTGGACGCAACAGGTGTTGCTGGATTAGTGCCTGGACGAGATGATGCAGCGTTCGCTCAGGACAGGAGATAGTGACGACGCAATAGGATGGCAGCGTGTTGGTCCCGCAGCCGAGGGCAGGGACGCAGCAAGATGGCGGCCGAGGCATTGAAGCCCCGACGTCATCCGTCCAGTCGGCAAGTGCTGGGGCCACCAGGAAACCAAGGGTGGCCGACCTCTTGGAGAGGATCGCCCGGTACGTTGAGTGAGGTTGGGATAGGTCAGACGCAATTTGCAACCGGCCTGGCCGTACCTAACCTAACAAGTGCTTGTGTGGCGTCAGGGAGACCGTTGTACAGTTTCGCATTTTGCGCTACCGGTACCACGGTCCCACCGCATTGCTTTGGAGGGAAGCTGGAGGACTGGCCAATATTCTACTGCGCGTTACGGAGACGACGCAAGTGTATGGTTGTACGGATCTGGAGAACAACCAGAGGTTTCTGAAGGCGTTGAAAGATGACGCGCGTAAATCGGTGAAGTCGCTGTTAATTCACCCCAGCAATGCAAATGCAGTAATGGAGCAGCTGCGTTTCAGATACGGCCGACCGGAGCAACTTATACGCAGCCAGCTCAACAGCATCAGAGACTTGCCTGCAATAAGGGAGCACAATTTGGGTAAGCTCGTCGCATTCGCCACGCATGTCAGTAACCTAAAGGACCTGGACAACATGTCATTTGGGACTGCCAACGGTTCCTCGGAGGCACACCTACAGAGAGGGTGAGGCTCGTGAGAAGACAAGGCGCTACAAAAAGTTCGTAGGGAACAGAGCTGAAATTCTGGAGTTAACGAAGGTGGCCCAATGGAGATGTCTACCGTCCTCCGACAACGTGGCGGATGATGCGACTCCGTCGCAATGCCGCGTGAACCTAAGTGAGGAGTCACGCTGGTTAGAATGGCCGGCATTCCTGAGGAGACCAGAAGGCAGCTGACCAGGGTCTGCACCCGGCGACGAAGCGGATGCAGAGGATGAAAAGAGATGCCGAGTAAGTTTGTGCACGTCGAAACAAGTGATACGTTTATATCGTTGCAGAGGCTCTCAAGCTACAGGCGATTGGTGAGGACTACGGTCCTAAGGTGTATGCCGTGGACAACGAGATGAGCTTGAGAGCTATGGCCTCACTGTGGCTAAGAGTGAAGCAGCTGAAAATTTGTTGGTCCCCAGAGCGCAATGTGGGGCGTTCCCGGATGCGATGCGGGCCGCAGAGAACGGAATGGAAGTCGCTAAAGGAAGGAAGGAACTGTGGACTGGCGCCATACCTAGATGGCAATGGAGACCTGCGAGCGTACGGCAGGATTGATGCGGCGTTGTGTATACCTTACAGCGTAAAGAGGCCAGTGATCCTTTCGCACCGGTAGAGTCTCACGGAGATGATCGTGCGCGATGCCCACGTAAGGATGAAGCTTCTAAAAGTGGATGCTAAGATCACGGATATCCGGACTAGGTTCTGGATCACGAGACTGGGGAGAGGGATTCGCCAGGTGATTTCTGGATGCAGCCAGTGTAAGCTGCAGAGAGCGTGGCCGATGCCGCCGATTTTGGGACCTCTGCCAGAGGATCGTCTGGAGGCCAATGGTTGGCCGTTTAAGAGTGCCGGTCGGGATTATTTTGCACCACTGCTGGTCACCGTAGCCAGGCTCCAGGAGAAGCGATGTGTGGCCTTGTTTACGTGTCAGACGACCAGGGCGCTTTATCTGGAACTGGCGCATGACCTGTCCACGGATTCTTGTAATATTGTCGTCGAGGGCCAGTACATAGACTGTGCAGTGACAACGGAAAAAACTTTGTTGGAGCGGACAGGGAGGCGAAGAGATTTGCGGAGGAGTTCGAGCCCGAGAGGATCCAGACGGAGCTGTCATGTAAGGGCATTGATTGTATCTTTAATTGTCCATCGAATCCGTCAGAGGGTAGAGTCTAGGAGCGAATGGTGCAGTCCGTGAGGGTGCTGCGTCACACCGTGTAGGAAGTGGCGCCGAAGGAGCACGTCTGGAGAAGCTTCCTAATAAAGGCAGAGAAAATTGCTAATTCTCGTCCTCTCACCCACCTGCCAGTGAGTGCGGACCAGGAAGCCCCTCTTACGCCGAATGATCTGCTCAAGGGAGCAGCCTGCCCGCCGAATACCCCCGGCTTGGATGGAAGCATTGTATAATAATTAAGTTTAGTATTTTCTGATAGCTTGGTATTGTGCCCCTATGGAGTAATCGAGCTCACTATTATTAAATTTTAATAAGGCACTCGTGGTGAGTTTGTGGTTAAAGCCTAGTACTCAGATCGGCTAAGTTTTACTAGTCGAAAAATCTTATTTTTTGTAGTGTGGCCGAAGTTTTCAAAGTTCACCCGCAAAGTTAACCCGGTTTGTTGCCAAACGGAAAACAAATCAATTGGTGAAATTTAAAGAGGAGGAGTCTGCTGGTACACCAAGAAATTTAAAAAAAAATAAATGGAATGTTCAACGAATGTTTTCATTTATGTAAATTAGTAGTTTAAAGCTTCCTTCTCGTCCCACGGATGCTTCGCCATCTTTCCCGCTCCACCGCAGTACAGCTCCGAGTCCCAATAGGCTTATTGGACCTTGAGGAAGTGGGAGAACGGAGTTGATCCGATGATGCTGCAGGAAGTCGCCCAGCATCCTGGCAGTGGCTGGCAATGGCTTTTCCAACTGTTCCTTTGCGGGCGCCCTATTTTCATCCCACTCGGCATGTTCCTTCCCACTGGGATTCTCTAGTGGATGTCCTCCAGCACTTCAACTAGTCTGCGAATTTGCCCCTTTTGTGGAATTGCTTCCTGTCAGTGAAATCCCTAAATAAAGGGCATAAGCTTGAATTTGGCGGCCTATTTAATCTGCACTGACCTCCTGCATCCGATTTTTTTCCTTCCAATTTTAATTTTTAAGCCTAGTACTCACATCGACGAAAACCGCGAGCTAACCATAGAAGTGAGCAAGAGACAAATACGCAGCTAAAGCTTTTCGTCGGGTCCGTTTTTCAGCGCGGTACTCAGGTGAGCTAAGGAAATACCAGAAAAAATACCAGGTTTCGCGAGTGAATTTCGATGAACGCCGTTAGCCGCGGCCAAAAGAATAAGAAATTTAATCTTTGGCGGTGTTCGTGCAGAAGGGGTGGAATATTTAAAAATTTAAAATGGAAGAAAAACGCCTAAAAGAGGTCAGTGAACTTGACCGACCACCACGGGGCAAATCCGCAGTGTAGTTGAAGTGCTGGAGGAGATGCACTAGAGATTTCCAGTGGGAAGGAACATGGGACATCGCTCGATCTCCGACGAGCTCTCCGTTGAGGGCTCCACCTCCACCAGCTACTTGGCAGCTAAAGCGGAGTTGGAGGACGCGCCGGCTTCTATAGGGAGCTGCCAGCTGCCAGCCATTACCAGGATGCTGGGAGACTTCATGCAGCATCAGGCGGAACAACCCCGTTCCCAATTCTGCTCCCACTTCCTCCACTGCCTATTCGGATTCGGAGCTGGACTACAGATGGCGCGGTAAAGATATCGAAGCACCTGTGGGACGAGAAGGAAGCCTTAAACTTCTAATTTACATAAATAAAATCATTCGTTGAACATTTCATTTATTTTTCTTTTAATTTCTTTGTGCACCAGCAGGCTCTTCTTTTTTAAAATGCTCTATTTGATTTGCTTTCCGTTTGGGAACAAGACCAGCTGCTTGACAGTAACACCCAGCCACATGCATTGCAGGTGAACTTTCTTTTTCTTTGGGCCGCGGCTAACGGCGTTCATCGAAAATTCACTCGCGAAATCTGGTATTTTTTCTGGTATTTCCTTAGCTCATCTGAGTACCGCGCTGAAAAACAGACCCGACGAAAAGCGTTAGCCGTGTACTTGCCGCTCGCTCACACCTATGGTTAGCTCGCGGTTTTCGTCGATCTGAGTACTAGGCTTAAACCGGAAGTTGGTAGTTGTAGCGTTTATTATACCCGATACTCGTAGAGTAAAAGGGTATACTAAATTCGTCGGAAAGTATGAAACAGGCAGAAGGAAGCGTTTCCGACGCCATAAAGTGATCAGGATCACTGTCTGTCTATCCGTATAAACGTTGAGATTTCGGAAATTATAAGAGCTAGGCTATTGGGATTTGGCACGCCCACAAACCGCCTAAGCCTGTGGCGCGCACAATTTTCATGCTAAAAAAAAATTTTAGCTGAAATGTATTAGTCTCGTCAATACCTATTGATTGACTTAAAAAAAAGTTGACCACGCCCACTCTAACGCCCATAACGCTTAAATCTGTCTACCGCCCACAAAACCATATATTAAGATCGCGAGTAGATGGCGCATTTCAATCTCGCTTTGCTGCTTGCATATATACATCTCCCTTTGGTCCCTTTAGCTGAGTAACGAGTATCTGATAGTCGAGGTACTCGACTACAGCGTTCTTTCTTGTTTTTAATGTGACTCTTATATAACCCTAGATTTAAAAAAAAAAATCGCTTAAATACGACTTAAAGGAAACCTTTGTTTTCCGGTAAGGTTCATCTCCCTGATTAGGGAAGGGCACCTAAAATTCTTTCTATGGGACCTATTTTTTTAAAGTGTAAAAAACGTTTTTCGCACTTTTTTATTTTTTAACTCCAGTTCTGATAATCCCAATTCGGCTATCAAGTACTAATTTTACAGGTAATAGAATGCCCTTTAACTTTCCTGTACACAGTATTGAGTTCCATTCATTAGTTTAGAAGCTACACTTCGTCAAAGTTGAAAAAGTTGGACAAAATTCAAACACGCTGGCATAAATGGTTTCTTTAAAAATACACGCCTAAAAACGTTCTATGTTTTTTTCTTGAAGGAACCTTAACAAAGAATATGAGCCATTGATCACGACAATCCGTTGGTAAATCGACTTTTCACAGATTTTTAAACGTATACACCCAAGTTCAGTATTCGGGAGCAGCGGCCCTTAAACATTACTTTAAATTTTCCGTGTTAGGGAACGTAAGAATTTGGTGCAAGTTGTTATGCATAACGTCAGTTTCCTTGCAATTTTCTTGCTGAAAATATATGAAAATGATTTACTCGGAACTGCAATCGCATACTTTTTAGCTTGCCCAGTACTAAGTTCAACAGCAATTTTAAGCGGCTGTGTGCAGAGGGTTTTATACTATTTGTACTTTTAACTATTGGTAAAAGTGAATTAAGTTTCACAGTGTTATACATCTTTGACTTCTTACTCCTGCGACATTTAAAAGTTAATTGTTACATGTCAAAAGTAAATACATTTTAAGGGCACAAGGGATTCATCGGAAAGTATGCAACAGGTAAAATGGAAGCGCTTCCGACCCTATAAAGTATATATATTCTTGATCAGGATCACTAGCCGAGTCAATCTATGTCCGTCTGTCCGTTCGCATGAACGCTGAGATCTCAAATCAACAGTTAGTTTCAAATATACGAAATATACGAATCGCTTATGTCAACTGTATATGTGTATTAAAACACATCGGTAGGACTCGAAACATTCTAAGGTGGTTCGAAACTTTGGGGAGGCGTCGCTTTTACAGTATAGCAGTTTCATTTGTTTGTTGAAAAGTACTTTCCAAAATGGACAAAATTGCATGGTAGTTTTGCATAACTATGCCATACGTACAATTCAAGAAAGTAGTCATGCTTTATTAAAAGCTTAAGCCTAGTACTCAGATCGGCTAAGAGTTTCACTAGTCGAAATATTTTATTCTTTGTAGTGTGACCGAAGTTTTCAAAGTTCACCCGCAATGCATGTAGCATGGTCTTACTGTCAAGCAGCTGGGTTTCCCGCTGCAGCTCCGAGTCCCAATAGGCATATTGGACCTTGAAGAAGTGGGAGAACGGGGTTGATCCGCTGCTGCCGGAAGTCACCCATCATCCTGGCAGTGGCTGGCTACGGCTTCTCCAACTATTCCTTACCGGGCGCCCTATTTCCCCCTCCCTATAGAAGTATCTGGTATTTTTTCTGGTATTTCCTTAGCTCATCTGAGTACCACGCTGAATAACAGACCTGGCGAAAAGCGTTAGCCGCGTATTTTCTTCTCGCTCACTCTTATGGTTAGCTAGCGGTTTTTGTCGATGTGAGTACTAGGCTTTATGTTAAATTATAAAACATAAATTAAACATCTCAATGGTTTTTTTTATGTAAAATAAAACCAAACATTTATTCATTCAAGATATACGAAAAACAAAATCAACTACATTGCTTCAAGTTGGCCAGTTATTGCGCAGCTTTTAAATTAGTTTCGGTTTAATAATTTATCCATCGTCGTGCCTACACTACCAATACCATACCCTTTAATTGCAAGCAAATAATTAAATATTTTAATAAACATAATAGGAATGTAACAAATTACAAGTCCTTATCGTGCTTTCGTCCTCATTGAACAGTGATGGCCCTAGAAACATCGATACTCCAAAAAACATCGACGTTTTTGAAAAATTTGATAAACATCGATGCATCGATTTTTTCGCACCTCTAAAAGAAAGGAGACAAAAATTCGCCTATTTGCCTCTTGCTTTCTCGTAGAACTAGTGCTTACCTTTTTACATGAATATCTGACAGGTTCTTCTTCTGGGAATGGCATAATGGGGAAAACAACACACAATCGATAAACAGCTATCGATATGGCAGCACTGTACTGACCAACAGCTGTGCGCTTAGCGTCAATTCTAGCCTTACGATTTTACCTGATTGTCACAACAATAAGCGAAAAAGTTGCGGCTACATTGACTTCGAATGCAGGCATGAAAATCAACGAGAGGACCCTGTACGTCTTTGCGAAAACGCCGCCATTTGACATGGAAGGAATGTATCCTACAGTTTTGAGCTCTTTTTCTTCTACTAAAAATCATAGACTAATAGTCACAATAACACAATGCAGGTTTCCTCAACAAACGGGGCGAGGTCAATAAGGCTTTTCAGAGACGCTTCTTCGTTCTGAAGGGCAACTTGCTGTTCTACTTTGAGTCGCGAGTGGACAAGGATCCACTGGGACTTATCATTGTCGAGGGATGCACTATTGAGCTCTCAAACGAAGTGGACAACTACTGCTTCGAAATAGCCTTCAACGGCAACCGCACCTACATCCTCTCCGCCGACAACCAGGAAAGCATGGAGACATGGATGAAGGCACTCACATGCGCCGGATACGAATACAATCGCATCATCCTAGCCGAGCTAAAGCGCCAGCTACACGAGATGGAGGGTTTGAGAAAAAGTGAGCCTGCGTTGTGGTTGAACCCAAGTTCACAATCATTTGCGTTTTTAAATCTGCAGAAATTCTTGGCAACGCTATTGACGGACCACATAGTGCCTCGGAGATAGCAAAGCCCAGGCCACCACCCAGGCGGACGAATCCCTTCAACAGACCCGCACCGCCTCCACCCAACAGTTCGTTGGGCGGCGGTGGAATCATGTCGCCCCTGCCGTTTATTAATGGATACTTTGGATCCAGCAATGCGCGTATGCAGCAGGAGAAGTTGAAGGTCTTGCTAGGTTTGTATAAGTGTCCACTAATATTAGTACACAAAATTAGAACGTATGTACATTGTACATAAATAAATACGATAGACATTTATCCCTTTACACAGTACAAACAGCATTATAATTATACCCGTTACTCGTAGAGTAAAAGGGTATACTAGATTCGTCGGAAAGTATGTGACAGGCAGAAGGAAGCGTTTCCGACCCCATTAAGTATATATATTCTTGATCAGGATCACTAGCCGAGTCGATTTAGCCATGTCCGTCTGTCTGTGCGTCCGGATGAACGCTGAGATCTCAGAAACTATAAGCTAGGCTATTGAGATTTGGCATACAGATTTCTGAGCTTCTTACGCAGCGCAAGTTTGTTTTAGCAAGGTGCCACGCCCACTCTAACAAATCGCCCAAAACTGTGGCTCCTACAGTTTTGATGCTAGAATAAAAATTTTAACTGAAATGTATTGTCGTCATCAATACCTATCGATTAACCCAAAAAAAAGTTTTACGCCCACATTAACGCCTACAAACTTCAAAAAATCGTAAGTATGAACGCGGATATCTCAGAAACTATAGAAGATAGAGAATTGGGATTTCAGATTTAGATTCCGTTGCCTTGAGCCCAGTGCAAGTTTGTTACGCAACGATGCCACGCCCACAAACCGCCCAAATCTGTGGTGCCCACAATTTTAATGCTAGATAAAAAATTTTAACTGAAATGTATTTGTCTTGTTGGTACCTATCGATTGATCCAAAAAAAGTTTGCCACGCCCACTCTAACGATCACAAGCCGCATAAGCCTGTGGCGCCCACAATTTTCATGCTAGAAAAAAATTGTAACTGAAATGTATTAGTCTTGTCAATACCTAATGATTCTTAAAAAAAAGTTTGCCACGCCCACTCTAACGCCCACAAACCGCCTAAGCCTGTGGCGCCCACAATTATCATGCTAGAAAAAAATTTTAACTGAAATGTATTAGTCTTGTCAGTACCTATTGATTGACTTAAAAAAGTTTGCCACGCCCACTCTAACGCCCATAACGCCTAAATCTGTCTACCGCCCACATAACCAGATATTGAGATCGCGGGTAGGTGGCGCATTTCAATTTCGCTTTACTGCTTGCATATTTTCATTTCCCTTTAGTCCCTTTAGCTGAGTAACGGGTATCTGATAGTCGAGGTACTCGACTATAGCGTTCTCCCTTGTTTTAGTAAGAAGTTTTTAAAGCAGTAAAGGAGATACTTTCGACCTCAGAAAGTATATATGTATGTACATTAGGCAGAGTCGATTAGTATCGGTCAGAAAAAAGTTACAAATCGTATTGTTTCTCTTTAGCAGGTGCAATCTCTCCTACATTGTCCTAATTTAAAAACTAACCAACCTAGCTTTTTAATAAATTAGCACAATGTTTTGGTAGATTTTGCTTCGATTTTATTTACTATTTAAAAATAAATCTTTTAAATATTCCCTATACCAGGCTACAGATATTATTTACTTGCAGATGCTAATGCTAACGGAAGACCTAGTGGAGCGCCCAGAGAACAGCGTCGCCCTACAGCCGCCCCTGCTATTGCCACAAACGTTTTTTACCCCGACACACAGAGTCTTGGAGCAATTAACAACAACCATATCACCTTAAGCAGTGGTGAGCGACTGCTACGACGGGTTAGAGCGCTGGATGATTTTTCTCGCAACCACGAGCGCTTTCGACAGGAACTGATGCCCGACGTTTCCTCCTATCGCGGACGCCATGGACAACCCCTTATACAGTTGTGATGTAAGAGGGCGCTTATCCAATGTATTATCCGTCTTGCTTAATTTCAATACATTTTTATAGAAATTAAGAAATATCATTTTTAAACGATAATGGCCCAGTATTATTAGAACGAACCTCGTAAACATGGCCTCCTCTAATAGATTTCCGTTATTCAGCTAAGGGGAGTGTGAGGGAGATATAGATATTCAAGCAGCATAGAGTCCGTTCCCAAGATTGCACACCCTCCCAATGTGGAATATAGCGTCGATACTTGATTATAACTTTATAATGGATGGTTTAAACAGTTTTGGCTTGTAGATGTACATTGATAATCAAAGCAAAATTTCATTTACACTTACAAAACCTTGAAAAATGTTGGCGCTAGACGGTTTTATCGATATAGTCTAGTACTCAGGTCGGCTAAGAGTTTCACTAGTCGAAAAATATTATTAAAGTTCACCCGCAACGCATGTAGCATGGTCTTACTGTCAAGCAGCTGGGTTGGATTTATTATAGCCTAGTACTCACATCGACGAAACCCGCGAGCTAGCCATAGGAGTGAGCGAGAGGCAAATACGCGGCTGACGCTTTTCGTCGGGTCTGTTTTTCAGCGCGTTACTCAGATGAACTGAGGAAATACCAGAAAAAGTACCAGATTTAGCGAGAGAATTTCGATGAACGAAGTAAGCCGCGGCCCAAAGAAAAAGAAATTTATTCTTTGGCGGTGTTCGTGCATGGGCGATGTGGAAACTAAAAATTAAAAGTGTATGGAAAACCCCAAAATCGACTGCAGGAGGTGAGTGCAGATGAAATTGGACGCCTAATCCAAGCTATTGCCCTTTATTGTGGGATTTCACAGGAAGCAATACCACAACAGGGGCAAATTCGCAGAATAGTTGAAGTGCTGGAGGAGATTAAATTTCTTATATTTGGGCCGCGGCTAACGGCGCTCATCGAAAATTCACTCGCGAAATATGGTATTTTTTCTGGTATTTCCACGCTGAAAAACAGACCCGACGAAAAGCATTAGCCGCGTATTTGCCTCTCGCTCACTCCTATGTTTAGCTCGCGCTTTTCGTCGATCTGAATACTAGACTTTACCTTGTTTCAGGGACCCATACATTAAGCGGGAATTGCTTATCGCACTACTCTAGTTTCCATGAATAATTACGGCAAAACCTCAAATCTTGTTGGACATACATAAGTGCTACAAGTTAAGAAATACCGCCTCAGTTTAATCTTTTTTTTTCGTTTCTTGTGTCGGCGGTTCGAGCACAACTTGCCTGACAAAAGTTAGTATTTTATTTTATTCACAAGGTACTATCGATGGTTTTTCAAAAATAATTTAACGGCTATCACAGAGACCTAAGTCCGCTAGGTTTTACAATCGATAGTATCTGCTTTATGTGGCAACACTTTTATAAAAAAATACTATTTTAGCTATCGGTAATAAGGCAAAAGAGTAACTCAACTTAGAATGGATAGATGATTTAGAGCTGCAAAATCATCGATGGTAGCACCATCGATAGTATCGATAGTTTGAGGAGTAAATATCGATACAATCACGATAGTATCGCTCATATCTAAACATTATGGGTAAAGGTGTGAAAACCAATAAAATAGGGTAATTCTCGCGGATAATTATCTTATGAAAATAGTGCTATTATAAAAATTAAAATTTTGTAATAGTTACAATTAAAAACGCAATATGTGAAATGTGCGTGCCTTCGTATGCCTTTGAAATTCAAGTAATGGGAATAGTCTGAGAAACATCGATGGCTGTCACCGTACCATCGATTTTTTTCATATTATGATTAATTCTTATGATTAATACTTACAACGAACTCTTTTTCATTACAGGCATCCCTATAGAAAAAATGGTCCGTGCTTGTACTTTTTCCGGTTAATGGCTGCTGCCTGCGAGGAAACCCCTGTACCGCATCGATAGACAGGCAACGAATGCACGGCAGCGGCTGGCAGCCTCCGCCGTGGACCCCCAGCAGAAAGAGGAACTTCTTCACATGACAAATGCAATCCTAGGCGACGGTTGGGACTGGTTTCCATTGTGTTGTAAGCGGCCTCTAGCCCGCTTTTGCCGCCACGACATGGAACGGGCAAGGACCAATATACATAATGTCTAAAACACGTAACGGCCATACATTGGTTTTGCAATATGCAGCTCGAGCAACGTTGATAGCGTGAAATCTAAAAAAAAAATGCACTTGGTTGTGTGGGTAAACACAAAGAATTAGCAAGTGCGTATTTATGTACTTGTTCGGGAAGACGATTTTCGACCCCAATTAATTTCTGAGCAACACAGAGAAAATACAATACCAAAACTGGTCATCAATCGGGTATTTTTGCGTATTAATTTTGGTCCCTTATGTTTTCATATATTGACAATTTCGAACATATCAATATGGTATTTTTCATACCAGATTGATATGCGCACATATCAATTTTGTGACAATATTATGGTGTTTTTAGTACCAGTATGTTATTTTTCAATATCAAACTGGTATTCTTTCATATCCAACTGGTATTCTTTCATATCATATTTATATTCTTTCATATCAGATTGACAGGCTTGTTTGTAGCAACACGTCGTCCATGACATGTTTTATATGGGGTGCAAAGACCACCGAAATTAATGATTTAAAAATATGTCTTATAAAAAAAGTTGAGAAAAAGAATTTTGAATTCAGCTTATCACCACTTCATTCCTACATACTATTTTTGAGAATTTTTTTAAACATTTCTTACCAGTTGGAAACAAAAATGTGGTAATCAAGATCAGCAGAACAAAAGCTCCATGTACTGCAAAGAAAACGATTAATTGTCGATAGGCAAAGAGACGGATACAAAGGAAATTCCATCAATGGAAATACCGCCAGGAAATTTTTTTGTAACCCAAGTTTGGCATCGAAGATTACAGGCATTGATGAAGATGTGATAACCCGATGCGCAACGATATAGCAAGCTTTAACATCAGGATATTCTACTAAGCCGACGAAATCCGCGAGCAAGCCATAGGAGTGAGCGAGAAGCAAACAGTCAGTTTTTCAGCGCGGTACTCAGATGAGCTAAGGAAATACCAGAAAAAAATACCAGATTTCGCGAGTGAATTTTCAATGAACTCCGTTAGCCGCGGCACAAAGAATAAGAAATTTTATCTTTGGCGGTGTCCGTGCAGAAGCGGTGGGTAATTTAAAAACTACAAATGGAAGAAAAACCTCAAAAACGGCTAAAGGAGGTCAGTGTAGATGAAAAAGGACGCCTAATCCAAGCTGTTGCCCATTATTTTGGGACTTGACCGACAGGAAACAATACTACAACGGGGCAAATCTACAGAATAGTTCAAGTGCTGGAGGCGATCCATTGAGGACTCCACCTCCACCAGCTACTTGACAGCTAAAGAGGAGATGTAGGACGCGCTGGCTTCTATAGGGAGGAGAAAATAAGGTCGCCCGCTAAGGGACAGCTGGAGGAGCCATCACCAGCCATTATTGGCCAGCCTATTGGGACTCGGAGCTGGACTACAGATGGCGCGGGAAAGATGACGAGGCATCGGTGGGACGAGAAGATAGCTTTAAATACTAATTTATATAAGTAAAACAATTGTTAAACTTTTCATTTCTTTTTATTTTAATTTCTTTGTGGCCCAACAGACACGTCTTTTTTAAATTGCTCCAATTGAATTGCTTTCCGTTTGGCAACAAGCCCAGCTGCTTGACAGAAAGACCATGCCATAGGCATTGCGGGTAAACTTTGAAAACTTCGGTCACACTAAAAAATACGATTTTTCGACTAGTGAAACTCTTAGCCGATCTGAGTACTAGGCTTAAAAAATGAATATAGTCAAAAACATTAACACCCATCAATAGAAAACATCAAAACAATAATTACATATTTAAAAGAAATAACTCCCCACAAATATAAGCAGCAGCAGCAGCAGATGGCAGGCCGCTTACCAGATACGCGGCGAATTCGCGAAGTAACGGCGCGGCGAGGAGAGGATGGAGAATGAGAGAGTTTGGAGACCAAGGATGGAGAGCGAGAGAGTTTGGAGACCAAGGATGGAGATCGAGAGAGTTTGGAGACAAAGGATCGGATAAGGAGAGAATGGAGACTTGTCGGGCAGAGCAAGAGTGCCGTGTGGAGATAACGGGACTCCACCGGACTTTGGACTCTCCCGTGAACTTTGGACCGGGAGAAGAAGTGCCACATCTGGGCAGTGGAGCGGCACACAGGCGTGCCACAAGCATCACGGGAATCAGCGGGACGGCAGCAGTGGGCAGAGCATCGGTTGGAAGCGGTACGTGAAGGACAAGTGGGTCAACCAGGAGTCACGCACTTTGGACCCGGAGTGGAGAGATCAAGCGGGCCGTGCGCAAAAGGGAAATAACGGTTCCCGGACGCCCTATATAAGGCCGCAGAGCGCTGGCAGCTGGATCAGTCGATCACGAGGAGTCAAACCTTCAAGATCAGTTAAAGTACCAAGTGAACAGTCAGTCAAGCAAGTAATCTACGAGGGAGCCACAACCAAGCGAGTCGTCGGAAGCAGCGCCGTGGGAAGCATACAAGGAGCAAGATCGCCACGTCGAGACGTTCGGGATTGGGACATCAGGAATCTCCGAATTTAGACACAAGTGGCTGAGTTCCGGAAGGCATCACACGGCTAAGTCAAGGCGTTTGTTTTCCAACTTTGTCACGAGCACACCCTGGCGAGTCGCCCGGCGGGTCTGTCAGAAAAACCATCAGCTTGGGGAGGAAAGTTGTCTGGGACCCAGCGTACCTTGCCCGACCAAGCAGGACCTGGCGTGACGGACGAGCGGTGGATCGATTTGCGATTTCAAGAGGCGTTCGCCTGGAGAGCCCTGCGATTACCGGCGAAGTTCCCAAACAGCAACCGCCCAACTCCCCGAGTGCCAGAACGACAAGCTACTGGTCAGGAGACAGCGCAGAGGACATCGACAGCGACGCCAGCAGACATTTCCGGCAGCCACGTTACCATCGCCGCGCGGAGCTCATTGGGGAGCGCAGGAGCGTCGCGGACGTCACGCATTATTGTGAAGCCGGGTCGAACGTTCGTCTGCGCTAGGCGTAAAGCAAAGTGAACTGCTAGGCAGCTTCCTGGCGGCAGCCTTGACTGTCAGCGCGATCTGAGCAAGAACCTAGAGGGACCGTCTGGGACAGAGCAAGGGACAGGTATTGCCTCGAAAGGCGTCGGCCTGGAGAGCAAGGCTTCTTCACCCTAGTCTGAGAACGGTAACGCTTCCCTAAGCCCACAAGGCCGAATTCTCTGCGAATCTAAGGCGTGGCAAGCGACCCCGAGGCAGCGCGTCGGCAAGCGAGCAGAGGCGGCCACTACGAGCGTCCCGAGACACAGGCAACAAGTCAGGAAGAGGAGCACTAGCAGCCTGCGAAGCCATATCTCCATTTCCCTTTGGTCTCTTTAGCTATAGTCTAGGTACTGGACTAAAGAGTTCTTCCTTGTCATTATTACACTTTATTTTAACTTCATTAATTTCCCTTCATACCAAAAATATATTACCTAAAAATTGTTAACAAATCTAATTTAATGTAATGTAGAAATATTATTTGGTTGATTTTGTCAGGGGTAGTCAGGCAACCTTTATCTGTTATTAAATTTCTTGAACAAAGCAAAACAACAAAATATACATAAAAAATACATACAAAGTCCTTCGCTCTTATCCCGCCCGTATTCGTCCATTCGCTTCAAACGATAGAAACAAAAGGAACGAATTACACGGATAACTTAAATGTTTTCAGCTGTGCCAAAGTTTTCATTCAGTCACTCATTCCACTTAATGTCTTATTTTGCGAGATTCAACACGCACTCATATATATATGTCGGAGATGCAACAATGTATGATGGAACTCATGTCATTTATGAAAACGACCATGCAAACACTGGTTCAAAACCAGAACATGGTGTTACAGCTACTTGCAGCTAAGCAGTCCAAATAATCAGATGGCAAATCTACGAATAACAATGTGGAACGCCAATGGCGTTTCACGGCACAACCTTGAAGTAACACAGTTCCTGAATGAAAATCATATCGACATTATGCTACTGGTAGAGACGCACCTCACAAACAAATACAACTTCCAAATAAGAGGCTACACTTTCTACCGCACAGACCATCCAGATGGTAAAGCCCACGGCGGAACCGGCATCCTAATCAGGGAACGCATCAAGCACCACTTTCACCAAAGGTTTTCAACTAATTACTTGTCAGCCACGTCTATCAAAGTGCAGTCAGGCAACGGAAACCTCACCATAGCCGCTGTCTACTGCCCGCCTCGCTTTACAATTTCTGAAGGACAATTCATGGACTTCTACAACTTGCTTGGAGACCGCTTTATAGCTGCAGGGGACTATAATACCAAACACACGCACTGGGGATCACGCCTTGTGACTCCCAAAGGAAGGCAATTATACAATGCAATCATAAAACCGAAGAACAAATTAGACTATGTTTCCCCTGGCAGCCCCACATACTGGCCAACAGACCCCAGGAAAGTTCCTGACCTAATAGACTTTGCGGTGACAAAATCATTTCCCGCAATATAATAAGCGCCAAAGCGCTTTCGGACCTGTCGTAAGACCATTCGCCAGTGCTAATAACTCTTCTTCAAAGCACAAAAACCACAGATCACCCCCTCAGGCTGACGTCGCACAGAACCAACTGGTAAAATATAAAAAGTATGTAAGCTCACACATCAAATTAACCCCTCACTTCAACATCGAAGCGGACATCGACTGCTCTACCGATGCTCTTCAAGAAGTATTCGTGGAGGCAGCCACTATCTCAACACCACAAGGCAGGGACGTGCAAACCAACCACTTCAAAACTAATCTGCAAATTGAACGGTTAGTCCTAGAAAAGAGGGGCCTGCGACGTGCCTGGCAAACCAACAGATCGCCGTCATCAAAACAACGTCTTAAGGAAGCCACTCGCACACTAAATCAAGCTCTAAAGCAAGAAACAAAAAATGCACAGCTGCAGTACATTAAAAAATTATCGCCAACCAGTACAAAACATCCTCTGTGGAGGGCTCACCCAAATCTGAGCTCTCCAATCGAAACAGTCACTCCGATAAGAAACTCATCTGGCATCTGGGTCCGCAGCGACGGAGATAGAGCCGAAACTTTTGCTTTACATCTAAGAAACGTCTTCCAGCCGAACCCTGCCACTGGTTCATTTTTCCTACCACAAATCGAATGTGAATCTATTTGCTACCACCATGGTTTCAGCCAAAGGAGATCGCGAAAGTCATTGGGGAACTGAAACCGAAAAAGGCCCCTGGCGGTGACCAAATAACCCCAA